TTGTAAAAAAAAAAAAAAAAAAAAAAAAAAAAAATGGGAGCAAAAAAAAAGTGAATAGAAGAATTTTTAAATTATTAACGTATATTAATAAATTAATTGAATATATAAAAAAAAAAAAATTTTTTTTATTATTTGGAATTTAATAAAAGAAGCTAAATAGATGTATATATATATATATATATTTTTATTGTTAAGTTAATTTTTTTTTAACTTTACTTTCAAATAATTTTCTTTCAACATTTTCTGCAAAAAATTTATTCTCTAAATAATTCTGCTTAGATTTTAGTTTTTCCTCATCTATTGAATTAACTATTTTATAGTTTTTCCAGTCTTCTGTTGATTTATCAACAGTATTAATTTGCTTGTTTTCTTGAATACTATGAATAAGTTCATCAATATTTTTAAAATTACCACCCAAATCCATTTTATTTTTTGTTTTTAAATATCTTTTGTATGAAGCTGATGTTTTATCTATCCTTTTTTTTACAGTGTATATTTTACCTGCATACATATATTTTTTTTCTATATCAATTGAATTGTTGTCATAAAATGATTCCAATGCATTTTTAACGGTAGCTGAGATATCATTATTATTATTACTATTTCTACATTGTTTTTTATATTCTTTTACATTTAATATAGTAGAATTTTCATCCAATGAACAAAACTTATTTATATGATTAAGTAATTTTTTTTTTGTATTGTAATTTTTTTCTAATTGTGGGTACTTTTTATGAAATTGTAACAAAAAATCTTCTTTATCAATATTTGTTTCATGTTTATATAACTTTTCAAATTCTTGATTAATTTCATTATATGTTTTATCCGTTTTTTCTTTTATTATAGAATTTTTAATAGTATTTTCAACATTCTTTAAACTTTTTTCCTTTTTTTTTTTTTTTTTTTTTTTCTTCATTTCTTCTCTTAATTCTTCTTCAACATCATAATTTTCATCTTCTTCATCTGAAGATAAAAACTGCATAGTTAATATATTAGCCATTTTTTAAAATAAAATTAAAAACCCCATCTAATAATTTTTTTTTTTTTTTTTTTTTTTTATCTATCAAAATAAATTAAAAAGAAATAAGAGTTGAACTATTCAAAGAATTCAAAATAAATATTATAAATTGCTATAAATATAT